AGGACGTGGCTGGCTGTGATGGCGACCAGGGGAGGAGCTGGAACACGCTGGGACTAGGGTGGGCCTGAGGGACTGCTGGTCAGGTTTAGACACAGATGGGCTTAAGCAGATGGTGGCTCCACTTACAGCAGGTGTGTGGGGAGAGAGACAGGGAGGTCTGACAAGGGGAGGGCATGTCCAGGCTGGTAGGTGGCAAAGCGATGGAAAATCCTGGTGCCACCCTGCTTCCCAAGGCCCTTGCCCCAGGGCATGAGCGCCAACCTGGGAGACTACAACTGGCAGAGGGGCCACACAGACACTCAACAAATCTTTACAAAGCTTCTACTATGCGCCAGCATTTCCCCCAACTGAGAATACAGTTGTAAATGAGAGTGAAGAGATCTCTGCCCTCACAGAACACAATCTAGGAGGCAAATTAAAACAGCACTGGATACGTACCTTTAGACCAGCAGTCGCCAGCCGGTGGTCTGTGGACCACTGGTGGTCTGTGAGGTCCAAAAGGTTGGCGACCGCTGCTTTAGACAGTGGCGTGTACTGAAAAGACTGCTTCAGCTGAAGTGATCAAAAGAGGCCTGAGATTCAGTGATGGTCAAAGCCAGCAGACAAAAATGGGGTTGGGAGTGGAGAACCCCAGTAGAAGCCCCTACAGATGGGAAAGGGCTTGCCAACCCGAGCTGAAGCAGGCTTGGACAGGCTTTAGGGAGCCGATGGCACACACTTCTTCTCAAATCCAGATTCAGTGACGGCACAGCAATAGCTTGAAATCGGCCATCGTGAGAATATTTACACCATGGAAACTGGCAAACACTACAAATGGGGATCATTTCCTTCCCACATCTTAAATACGTAGCACATCCCGATTGGCATATCTGAGCATCAGCAAGGAGCCCAAAGCAGGGGGAGGAGGATATTGTCACAAAGCTTCAGGCTGTGCTTTGTGGCAGCAGACAAAATGTCTCTGAAGGGTTTCAAGGAGAGAGGTGACATGATTTGATTTTCACTTGGTCAAACAGATTTTATAAAACAAAGTCTCATGTAGATAGGAGGGGGGGGAGATTGATTTCTCAGAATTGGGAGCCAGGCAAGAGATGAATCCAGTAACTCAGGAGAACTGCCCCCTTTCCCCCCAACCCCTAACAGCAGCAGCAGCATAAGACCAGAATGAGGCCAGTGGTCAGAACGTGTGTCAGGAGATGCCTGACCTGGGTCTGGAGGGGAAAGGGGTCTGAGCCTGCAGGTGCTGCCAGGTCTGTGCAGAGAAGGGGGCTGAAGCCTCTGCACCTGCAGTGGGATGGCCATGTCACTCTATTTCATTTCCCAAGGGATGGCAGCGGCAAGCTGCAGAGGCCTCTGCCTGTCTACAGGTACAACGCATGGTCCCTTAGGGAGATAAGTGGTTTCAAAGTGGTTTTAAAAGTCTCCATACCAACATGGCTTCATTCTCGCCACTGGCAAGTTCCATGTGGCATCTGAGCAGTATCGTCACCCAAGTTGCATATGGCGACGAAAGCAGGTGCCTCTCGGTCTGGCCATAGAGCATCAGCCTGAGGACTGAAGGGTCCCAGGCTCCACTCCTGGCCCCAGTCAGGGTGCATGCAGGAGGCAACCAACAGATGTGTCTCTCTCACATCGATGTTTCCCTCTGTCTCTCTCCGTCCCTTCCACTTCTCTAAAAATCAATGGGAACATATTCTCAGGTGATGATTAACAGAAAAACAAAACAAAAAAGAAAAGCAGGTGCTTCTCCACATCAACTGCACATGCTGGGGACCTGACCGGCATGGCTCAGTGGTTGAGCATCGACCTATGAACGGGGAGGTCCTGGCTTGATTCCCCGGTTGTCGGCTGGGGAACTTTCCCACCCCGGGCCCATTAAGCCCGGGGGCTCTTCTGGCGGTGGGACTCAGCCCCAGCATGTTACAAAGCTCTCTGGGTAATTTCAAGGTCTGGCCCACGTTGAGAACCACTGGATCAGAAGGCTTTCTGTAGAGTAAGAGGCCAAGTGTTTTCCCATGTCTTGCCTAGGGGGTGGACTCTAGGCAATTTCTGGTGCGATGTCCATGCCTGGTGCTATTCCGTCGGACATTAAGTGAAACCCCGAAGTTCTCCTCCACGTTGGACCCTGATGGTATCGAGAGGCCAACTTTTGCGTGACTGGCTTAATCACTTGTCTGTTTGCATTAACTGTGGGCTCCGCTAATGCAGCAGCTGTTGCAGTTCTCAAAGGTTTTAACGTGCCGAGCCTCCCCTTCCGGAGGCGCAGCCCTTTTGCGGATTGGCGACGATGACTAGGTTCCAGCCCACGCTCTATGTGCTCTCAATCGCTGAGAGGACTCCCATCGGCCCATCTCAGAAGTGTCAAGGGGTCAGGTACAACCAGGCGGCTGGGCATCCCATGGAGCAATGAAGAGGGTGTGAAATGTTTCTCTTGCACCTTTGGGAAAAGAGCAGAGAGGACAGATGTCAAAGGAAAGTGAGATTGAGGCGGTACATTGTGCTCTGCGCAAAGAACAAAGCATGTAGCGTGGTGGAACAAAGCCATGCTGTCCTGCCCCTCACACCCTGGCAGCAAGAAACACAGTCTGCCTGGCCGGCATGGCTCAGTGGTTGAATGTCGAGGTTACGGTTCGATTCCCAGTCAGGGCACATGTCTGGGTTGTAGACTCGATCCCCAGTGTGGGGCTGCAGGAGGCAGCCGATCAATGATTCTCACTCATCATTGATGTTTCTATTTCTCTCTCCCTCTCCCTTCCTCTCTGAAGGGAATAAAAAATGTTTTTAAAGAAAGAACACAGGCTTTTGGGGGGAGGGGGGAAGGTATTTATTCACTCAACACAGATTCTCTGGTTCCTGCTCAGTGCCACTCGACTGGAGTACTGTTTTGGAGTTTGCCACTCTGGCCTCTTGAGCTGACGGCAGTGTAGAGGACACGAGCCAGTAAGTGGCCAATGGTGCTGTGCAGTGAGGGTCCAGTGCAGGTCAGGACAGTCAAAGGGAGGGAGGCCCCCCCAGGGGGGATGGAGGAGAGGCCCTTCTGAGGTGACGCCTGTCTGAGACCTGAGCCTGAGCAGCAGCCCTGGGAGAGCTGGCAGAGGGCACTCCGGGGAGAAGGGTTGGCAAAGCCACGCCCTGAGCTGGAAAAGCCGGGTGCTGCTGAAGAAAGGCGGGGAGCCCCTCCTGAGGACAGGGAGGTGAGCCGGGAAGGTGGCCAGAGGAGGGCGGGGCAGGCAAAGGACAAGGTGACTTGTATTGAGCCCACTGGCGGCCTGAAAGCTGGTGCCAACATGCTCCGATCTGCTGTCACCAACTTGCCACGTGACTTGGGCAATTACCCTCTCAGATTTCTGTTCTCTACTGGGAAGGAGATAAAGCATGAGGTGATTTTAAGGATTAGAACTCTTGTATGTGGAGTTAACAGAGGAACAGACAAGTAGTAAATGCTCATTAAAATGGCAGCTACTGTTGTCCTCCTCCTTCTTCTCTTCCTCCTCCTCCTACCTCCATCTCATGTGCACAAACTGGATGGGTGTGTATCACAGCAGCCACTCCTTGCTCAAGGGGACTCTAACCTGTCATGGGCTATATGTGAAGACTATGAGTGTTGACAGTTGTGTATTTAAGAATCTAAATCCCCTCTCGTTAAACTCCACCGCTGCTGGGCTGACGACAGCCCATGTAAATGCTGGGGTGAGCCGTGTGCTGCGGGCGTTGTTGTTTGTGTCCTAGGGTGCTCATGCCTCTCTGAAGGCTTTCCTGGGTGACGAAGACCCCAACCAAGCTCTGCTTATAGCTCGGAAGACTTCCATTCACAGATCTTACGTGCAAACTATAGCTGTTCATTTTAAAACCTCACAACCTTTGTTATTCATCCACCCATTCAGCATTCACAGAGTGCCCACCATGAGCTCAAAACTAGGCTAGAAACGAAAGAAAAATAAGGGAAAATGTCCTCAGGAAGGTTGTAAGGTAGGAGGTAGTGGTGGAAGTAGGTAGAAGGCAGCTGTCACCACTCCTGTGACAAAGGGATTCCAGAGGCCCAGAGCAGAGACGTGAGACGGCCTTTTGGAGGCCGTAAAATAACTCTCAGAGGGGAACCTTAGGGCTCAGGCTAGAAGGAAGGGGAGGAGTTTGCCAGAGGGAGAAAGAGGGAGGGGAATAAAGGTGCGCACATACTACAAATGCCAGCAGCCTGGGGAAGAATGAATGTGGAAGTACAATCATTCCACACAAAAATGGAAAAAGCTGGATGGATTCTTCTCGTTGCTAGTGACAGGCAATCCATGGCCTCAACAACAACAAAAGGCAGGACTGGGAGAATGCTTGCTTCTCTTCCAGCTGGATTCAGGGCTCAAATACCACAGGCCTTGGTGGCCCTCCTTTACATGGTTCTCTTCTGTTGGGTCAACTCATAGTTGAGTTCAGACCAGATGGCTGGGGCCATTCTAGCCCACAGGCCAAGGCTTCAGGCTAGTGGGAAAATGCAAATGCCTCTCCCGACCATCTCAGTCAAAGCTCTGGGATCGGCTCTGAATGGACCCAGCCAGCTCGGCTTGAGCCACATGCCTGTGCCTGAGCCAGTCACTATGACCTCATCACGGAGCACCCTGATTGGCTTAGAGCTGGTCCATCTGGGCAGCGTGGCTAGGGAGGAATCCAGCACCGATGGAGGGCCTGCCATGTGCCAGGCTCTGTCTGGCATGTTGACAACATTTAGCACCTGCAGCCCTCACCACCCCTCTCCAGAGGAGAGACTATTAATACTCTTTCATGGTGAAGATATGAAGCTTTAAGGATGGGTACTTTGCCTGAGAGCACACGGGATCTGGACTCCATTCTGGGGGACCCCGACCAGCGTTCTAAGAGCAATCCCCTCTCACTCACTGATGCATGTGGTCTGCCGTCTGCTCTGTGACTTGTGATGTCATGAACACTCTGGACTGCTTGGCTGCAGCCTCACGACCTACCGCCTTCCTGACCCAGCTCCCCTCTCTTCCCTGCAGGGGCCTCGTCTTTGTGTCCCATGGAGCCGGGGAGCACTGTGGCCGCTACGATGAGCTGGCTCAGATGCTGGTGGGACTGCAACTGCTGGTGTTCGCCCATGACCATGGTGAGTACCCCCAGGGCCACAGGGCACAGGGCCCACGGTTCTGGCCAGTGCCTGACAGTTTGGGGGTGTAGGAAGGTCTAGTTTACCTTATCTCTGTCCTTCTTCCTCCTCAACTATTCTCTTCTGGTTCCTACAGTGAAACTTGGAAAGTACATCCTCCATGGGATGTTTCTAAGTTAAAAAGAAAAAAAAATGTGTAGTATCTAAACGAAAAGCATGTCTGACCAGCGGTTTCTGTTGAGTTTGGAATTGAATGTAGGCTACTTAGGAAACTCCACTGAAAAACCAAAGTGGAAATATGTTTATATAAGAACTAGCCCCAGGCCAAGTAATCCTCTTACATTTATAGAGCGCTTTCTGTACCAAATGAGCCCTGGTTGTCTCCCCGGGGACTTCAAATGGATGTGGTGCGTCAGTGCCAGTGCCGTTTAAACTCTGTTTTAACCACAAGAGCTTTAGAAAGCATTTCAAACCAGGAGAACAGCAAGTCTCGCAAGACCATATTGGTCACAAGAAAACCCCAAACACACACACACACACACACACACGCACGCACGCACGCACGCACGCAGACACGCACACACATACACATGCACACTCACACACACACGTCTCCAGGCTGAGTCTTTGCTTCTTTGTCCTATAACAGAACCCACAATAACCATTAACATGTATTGTTCATTGACTAAGGCAGTATGTAGTCCCTTAATTATCTCTGTGACATTCTCCATGGCTGGGAAGGCTCCCAATAGAGATTTCCCTTTGCCCAGCAGCCTTTAAAAAGGAGCATTGTCATCCCGCCCTCCTGTGCCTTGTCAGCAGCATGCTGCTGGACCCTTCACCCCAGACGGCACAAGGGCTCAGACGCAAGCATACCTGGGTCCAAGTCCCCAGTGGACTGTGATTCCAAGCCTTGCTATCTTAGAGACCTTGGTTAGCCATTGCAAGCCTTCAGTTTCTCATCCACCAAATGGGCAAGATAGGCCTATCACAGAGAAAGGGCTGTGGTGAGATAATACATGTAGAGGGCGCAGCCGAGCGGGGTGCCTTCTTCCCTTTTACTCTGTTCTCTCTGAGACCCCCTCTAGCCACAATGCAGACCAGCTGGTGTTCTGTGTATCCAAATGGGGTACTCCAAGGCGCTTAGCAGGCCCAGCTAAGCTGAGGCTGGGAGTCAGGGGTGCTGCCCAGAGCTGGGTCATCTGTCAGGCCTGCAGAGGCTGCTGTGAAACTAGAATGAAGCGATAGATACGGCTGCTAATGAGGGTTGTGTTGCTGTTTCTCTAACACAATTTGTAGAAAAACAGGTTTCTATAAATCTGGTGCTAACTGGATTTTAAGTTAAATCTTGTTTAATTAATTTACAATCTAATTTTATTGTTTAGACAGGGATCTCGAGACGCTCCCATTATGTCAGTCTGGCTGTGTCTCTCAGTGTGCCTGGCAGATTGACCCAGATTGGTCCTCAGTATCTCATGTAACTGTGCTTTCCATCCTCACCTTAGAATTTTACAGGTTGACCTCATGGGCAGGAACAGCTTGCCAGAAATGAGAATGACGATTCCTGACATTTATTGAGTGCCAACTGCACACCAGGCTGTATTCTAAGCATTTTTGTACATTATTTCTGATCTCTCATAACAATGAATATTACAGCCTCCTTTTAGAGGGGAGGATTCTGAGGCTGTGTGGCCTGGGGAGCCCATTGTCATTGCACCGAAGCACACACACCAGTCCTGGCAGTTGGACTGTATGCAACAGAAACCTGCTGGCAGTAACTTAACAAATACATTTCATGCTTCTCGAAGTCTGCGGGAGACACTGAGACCGCCAGTATGCCATCAGCGCCCAGGGTTCCATCTGCAGTTCTGCTCGGCTGTTCTCAGCTTGTGACCTTCATGCCTAGGGATGCCATCTCCTCCTCCTGTTCTAAGCAGGAAGTAGACACAGAAGCAGCACAGCGGAAAGGGCTGGGCTCATACGAGGAAAACACATATTTCTTGCAGCTCCTGGGCATATTCCAGCTGCATTTCATTTGCCAGCACCGGCACGCTGTAAGGGAGGCAGAGAAATCTAATTTGTTAAACGTGTATTTGCAGATGCAAACAAAACAAAAAGATTCTGTACGAAAGAAGTAGAAAATGCACATTGCTAGTAGCCATCTTGTCCTCTGCCACACCACACTCCAAGTTTATCATTTAAGAGGGCATTTCTCAACATTTCTACTTTATATGCTTTCTAGGTATAACAGCTAACTCACAGAATCATGCTTCTATCTTATCCATCCCCGTGTTCTTTTGCAGTGTTTTGATGTGAAGGTTATTATTAGCATCCTCAGCAAGGAGTGGTTCAAGTTCCTAATTAGCCCTGAGTTAGGCGTAATGCAGAGAAAAATGCAAGGGCTTAGTAACTGCTGTCCTCATGCTCCAATGACCTGTCTTCACCAGAAAAATCAAGCAGCCTCTATTAAGTGCTGAGCTTTGTAAGAGCATTTGTCTCCCTGAGTGGTAACTTATTCCTTTATGGTGGAAGCAGCAAGCTCCTGGCAGACAAAGACTGTCTTACTGTGTCAGTGGTAGCTTCTCTCTCTACCCCCACTATCTTCTCATCTGCCATGTGGGGCCCAGGACTGAGCAGAGAGTCGAGGCATCACCGTTGGTTGTTGAATGAATGAAGGAGTTCGTGATCCAACATAGATCAGCCCAGAAATGTCTCAAATATCAGCAGTAAAGTAAGTGCCCACATTCACAGGGCACGATCAGGTCTCATCTTGTGCAGAGGATCCCACAGAGTGGCCACCGGAACTTCGAGTCTGGTGGCCAAGGCTGGGGCAGGGGTAGCAGTCAGGTGGAGCTAGGCAATGATGTGGAGAGAGGCAGGAGCAGAGGTGGGGTACAGCACCTCAGAGATACGGGGCTTTCCCAATGCCAAGCGGGTCTTGTTGGGTGAGTAGGAGCTTGCTAGGAGAAGAAAGGGTGTGTGTGGAGAAGAGGCAGTGATCCCTGAGAACTCTGGTTCTCACATTGGCCGCCCATTGAAAGCACAGAGGATTCCTGAAGGACACAGGTGCCTAGGGGCCCTCTCTCCTCAGCGATGGATTTCATGGGTTTTTGGTGTGGCCAGAACATCAAGGCTTTAGAAATCACCCGAGGCTGAGAACCACGATTCTAGGCAGAAGAGGCCAGAGATTGAAAAGCTGGATATACAGATCACATGCTTATTGAAAAGCTGGATATACCAGGTCACATGCTTATGCCCTATTCAGGTAGAAATCCCCACACGAGGGTTAGGCAGACCCTGAGGTTTAGGAACAGAAACCAAGGACAGCCCCTGCTGGTGAAGCTCGGGGCTCCGTGGTAAGTCCCTTTGGACATGTGGAGCTTGTGGAGGAGTTTATGCCGGGAGAGAGGGTGGCTGCTGGATGCAGCGAGGGCCACCAGGGGTCTTTTGGAACCATCAGGAGACGGGATCCAGGGCAGGGCCCAGCGAGGAAGAGGCACGAAGCAGAAGTGGGGCTGCTGTGGCGACATCTGAACAGGTGGAAACCACAGAGGCTGGGATTTTCTGTGCTGTTCTAAATATAACCCTGGGGGGGGGAGTGGCTCTCACAGCACCCAGCCCCTCAGTCACCGCCTGCTCATGGTGACTCACTGGAAACCCCTCGTTCTTCCTGGCAAGCAGATTCGGCAGGGCGACCCCGATAGAGGGGCGAAGGAGGCCATGTGGGTGGAGGGGCGGTGGGCGGCAGGTCCCGGGTGACAAGGCTGCTGGCCAGATCGCCCCTCCCAGTGAGCAGCCTCCTAGTTGTGCAGTGGCCCACTTAAAACGACTCAACTTGGTCTGTCTATATTTACAAAGTATAAAAGAGTAACTGTCAATTGATTAACAGTGAATTAATTATTTGCAAATATTTGAGGGAAAGTGTTAAAGGAAGTTTATTTTGGGTTTTGTTGTGTGGTTTTTTTTTTGATGGCTTAGGTGCATTTCATTGGTTTTCTTTCAGAGATCTTTTAAAACTATGCTGGGGTGGGTGAGAAGAGGGGTTTCTGAGGGAATGTTTGTGGGTGGCAGGCAAGCCTGAGTAACCTGGGAGGGGGCCTTCCCTGGCCGAAAAAGGGTATTCAGGGCATTCTGGGGAGAAAGATGGTATATGTGTTTCCCATGCAGGGAGACAGGTTTGAGTCAAGGTACTTGCTGGGTCTGTTCTGAAGTAGACTGCCACTAGTTCCAGTAATATCTTCTTTCGTTTGAAATGTTTGAAAATTATGTTAACAATTTTTCTTGTCTTAGTAAATAGGAGGATGAAAATCTTAGAGTGAATAGCCCTTTTGATGCTTCAGAAGGCCCAAGACCAGGACGGGGCAGGGGAGGGGGCGGGTGGTGAGGGGGTGAGCTCTCTGCAGGCGCCTCAGGCGCCAGGCCTGGGTGTGCCTGGATCCATTTGGGTCTCTGTGGTTCCCTCCCTCGCCTCCCCATTCCTGCTGATTCATAGTTAGGCAGACCTTCCCTCTTGGACATGACCCTCTAACATGAGTTTATTTGATCACTTGCTTCTTTTTTGAGTAAAGCAGATACTTCCACGAGCCTTAGTTTGAAATATAACAACAAACAACAATAATAGGATTACCTTGTGGTTGTGGGATGGAGTGGAGAAAGAAGGGTTCTCCTTGCTCCTGGAAGGCGTGTGGAAACCCACTTGGCTGGACGTCACCCCGGCCTGCCTGATACTCTTGGGCAAATTCGGAGAAAGAGGCCAGGGTCACCACGGGCGTTTCTTGTGAAGAATCTGCGTCAGGTGTAGTGTAGATGCAGTCCACACTGGAAATGTACCGTTTGCCATCAGCAGATTCAGCATGTCGTATAGCAGATGCTACAGGAGAACCTACTCTGTGTAGGGTCTGTACTGGGTGTGGAAATATGGAAATGATGCAAATGCAGGCGCTGCCTCCAAGAACCCAATACCACGAAGGGGACGGACATGCTTTAAAAGCACAGAGAGC